GACAGTTAGTGTTCTTCTTCTTACGCCTGATATTTAATTTTCCTTTTTATTGATTGATACCAAGTAAATTTCGAACCCGGATCTGTGTCTCGAGCTGTTGAGAATCTTTTTCAGCTCTCTGACGAGGTAAGAAGGAAAGCTGTATTTATAATGAACCAAGAAAATGTGCAACTCAGCTCTTGGGTATGAGCTGTGGAGAATCTTTCCGAACTGTGACAAAGCTGGGTTTGTAAAAGACCACAAAAATGTAGAACTCGACTCAACATGAGCTGCTGAGCACTTTCAACTCTCTGCCGAGGTGGGAAAGTTGTGCCTAAAAAAACCAAAAAAAGTTCAGAACTTGGCTCATCTGCATGAGCCGTAGAGGATATTTTTCAACTCTGACGAGGCAATGATGATTCTTCCGTAGATCATAGAAAGTTTATTGAAGTAAATCATCGATAAATCCATAGAATTACATAAAGTTTATAGAAAAATGGTGCTTAAGAGAGCTGACAAATAAATCCCAGACTATAGGCATCAAAATAATCGGATACCAGAAAATAATTTGTGTGAATGGATATTCGACTTTTGGATACTTATTATTCCCAAATCATCATAATCCATAATTTTCAAACGCGAAACGGGAAAATCCACAACAGTTGAGCAAAAAGTAACTCCATTAAAGTGTCTATATAGTTATTCTCGAAAGGTAGTAAGCATTTCTTCGCGACATAAAAAAGGAAGGGGAAGTTCAGTCAAGAGAGTGGCAAGACTCATAATATAATATTAGCACTATTATTATTGTTTTATGAGTATATATATCTAAGCATAGGAAAATAAAAAACTTCGTGTTAGAAGTGCGATATTTGCCTTTTATCAACGGAATAAAATCTTATATAACTCAGAGACACATTGCTCACTTGCGTGATATAAAGCCAACGCAATAACAAAACACATACAAATGAATTGGCTTGAATAAACGCACACACGTACACAAGGAAAACAGCAAAGACACACAAACACCGAGAAAAGAGTGAAAATCATACAAATTAAAGGCAGCGCATTGTTGTTGTTGGTGGCAACGAAATTCAAACGTTCAAATTTCGTAACACTTTTTGATGAAACAACTAATGTGACCAGCAAACGGCATGCACAGTTCGACAACTTTATGGCAAAACTTTGGTTAGAGTTGAACATTTTCTAGTTTCACATTTGTTGGTGGCCGAGAAAATGGGTAAGCAAACGACGCGCTGCTTGCTAACACAAACACAGAGATATATATACATATGCATACACTCTCACATTAGTCTTCAGCAGTAGCAAGGTGTGGCGTTCATGTACGCCTCGATAGCAACAACAACAAAGCGAATAGGTTTTTCAAAAACAACAGCGTTAGCTGAAGCGCTCAACGTACGCTAACAAATTATTATCAACTGTCAGATTACTCTCTTACTCTTCTGCTACACCAGTGTGTGGCAATTAATGAGAAAATTCGCCTTAGTCCATAAATTATGGGCAATTGGCACACTTTTTCGGCCAGCAAGGAATTTCGCTTGATACATTTTTTTTGGTCTTTTTATTTTAACTTGTTTTTTCAATTTTTCACAGATATCTTCTCTTTCGCTCATTTTTACTTCTTTTTTGTTTTGTATTTGTAAAAATATCCAGATTACTTTATTTATAGACTACTTCGTACTTTGTATCGTGCCAGTCATTATATTGCCAGCCACAACAGCAGCAAATTTGCAAATTCCTTTGGCGACACCTAATCAGCGACCACGGCTTGGCCCCACATAGCAGACACGGCATGGCACGACCACTGTGAACTTGAGCAAGTGCAGCGCTCAAGCCGTTGACATGGCGGTGTATTGATTAATCTTTGCGAAGCGAAAGCAGTTGTGGTTGAAGTTTGACAAAAATATTGCTGTCAAAAGTTGCGGAGTGCGCATGGGACCGTAAAAGGTGGGACCGCACTCACAAAAGACTGTGACTGGAGTCAGAACTGCCAACAGAAGTGGCTTAACCCAAGTAAAACTTAAATTGTTTTATTTGCTATGCAGGAGGGGTAGTTGTTTATAAGGATCTCAATCTTAACTTTAGAAGTCGTTGCTATCAAGATAGCGCTGGGCGTATTGTTATAAAGCACAGCCTCTTTTAGGGAGGTGAGCCAATAACAGAGTGGAAAAACTGGCGCTGAGCTCGCTAACTGTGCACTAAAAACACTCTGCACTCACTTGAAAAAGCGTTAAACTACTTCATCATCAGGCACGTTTAGATGCCTAGTCGAAGCGGAATTGCTGGCATTTACAAAGCCGGCGAGCTAGCCAGAGAGCGCACAGTAGCCCCGCTTACGTCGAAATGGTACCAAGTTGGATCTCTATTGCCATCTTGCGTTCTAACAATGGGCCAATGGACATCGCGTCGTTGTTTGAAAGAATGAGACTGAAATATCTCGGTAATCTTACCATCGGCGCATTAAAATATATTGCCGGAACTGACATAAGCTTTTTATGACTTAGTATATATTTAGGGAGAGCGAGAGATACCTTGTGAAATCGACCACTTAACCTAACATAGCCATTCTTTATAGCTTCGACGCAGTCGAAACAAAAGTTCACACACGTACCGTAGTTCAAACAGTTCTAAACATGCAAAAGTTCTAAAAAAAATTCACCGACATTTCTCACATATCACTCCTTACCTTTTTTATCCTCTCACGCGCCCCCTCTTCCTTGCAGTATAATTTACATATACATACGTACATGAATGCATATCGCAGCGCAACGATCACCGCAGCCTTTTCACCTGGCCTGCGTGCACCTGACACAGCCAAGTGAGAAACAACAACAACAGCACAGTAATTGCATCCCTATAATGTTTTTTTTACTCGTTCGTAAATATGTAAATGTATGTGTGTGAGTGCCCTGATGGGTTTATTTTTACGCTGCTGCGTAAGCTTCGCAGCTGATGATGGTAATTCCAGCAATTACGCCACTACCACCAGTCAACAACAACAGCAGCAGCAACAACATCGTGACAGTGTTGGTATAATTGCCTGTACTGGCACTATCAGTGCAACGACTATTTGCCACCACCACCAGCACTGGCGCTATCACCAACATCAGCAGCAGCAACAACAAAAAATACAAAAAAATACAATAATAACAACAACAACATAGCGCCGCGTTTGGCAGCAGGATTGCATGTTGTCACTCCCTCATGCCACATGCCGCATGCCACATTGGCATACGTTTTCTCAACCAATATTTGTGCGATGGTTTACGCAACCTTTGATCAAATAAATGGCTGATATATAAATACAATGTGTATGTATGTACATATATGTGAATGTGTGAATGTATGTAATTTTGTTTGTTTGGGTTTATATGTGTGTGTTGGTTGTATGCCAATGCGTTCGTTGCCCGCGTTTTTCGTCAATTTATTAATATTTGCATGTATATGCGGTGTTTGTGTATTTTTGTGTTTGTATTGGTGCAACCCCCGCACTTGCTGACCGCTAGCGCTTTGTTAGCCGCTAACTATTGGCTTCTGCTTCTGCGTTTTCTACTGCTTTTTAGCCATTACAACAACAGCACTAACTTTTATTTACATATAGCAGCTCACACTCATATGTTTAATATATGATATACTTATATCTCTATATGTATGTGTGCGCGCGCCTTTAGCGTGTTGGTTGGCTGACAGTGGCAAGGCATAGTGCGCGCACCTTTGTTGTTGTTATTTTCACTTCTTTTACTTTTTCGCTTGCTATTGTTTTTGGCTTTTTTTTATTTGGTTGATGTTGTTGTTGTTGCCCTTCCTGCTTTTGTTGCCCTTGTTGTTCTTGCTGTTGTCTTTCTCTTTGTTGTTGATATTTGTATTTGTTTTTGTTGTTTTGCTCATCTCTGGTTGTTGTTGTTTTAATTTTTCTTGTTGTTTTTGTTTTTCTTCATTGTAATTTTGCGCTTTTTATTCCAGTTTTTGTGCTAGCAAATAAAAATTCAGTTAGTCACTCGTCGCCAAGGATACGGTGCGTTTCGCTTCGTCGTTGTTTCTCGTCTTTGCCGTTAGCGCCAGCACTTTTCGCTATAATTTCGTGATATATTTGTTGTTGTTGTTATTGCGCATTTATTCGACTTTAGTTTTTCGTTTGTTGTTGTATGTGAAATATTCGATTTTTCGTTTGCAAGTTGGGAAATTAGTTAGGCGCCACCAATCCGACACGCAGTCATTATTAACTTCGCGTAGTCCTAGTTACCGAAAAGCCAAATCAAAACGCCGCACAAAGACATATAAAATATCAACTACTACACAAACTGCCGGTGGAGAAAAATTGTAGGAAAAATAGTAAAAAATCGGAAAAATTTGAATTACCGTTACAGACGGCCAAAATGTAGGCATATTTCGTGGCTTTAGTGGCATACCCAATTTATATACATAAATATATACAGCTACATATATATGAGTAGTAACGGAAGTCATAGTAGCAGCTATAAGCCAACGCCACACCCACTCATATGTCATTGCCGACAGCGCTGCTTTAAACGCTCAGTAAGAAAGCGCTGACAATAAGAAAATTAAGCGAAAAATTCAGAATTTCACCGATCCTGTTCAGGTGCAGCGGACGGCGCTAGCTTAAAGTAAGTCACCGGCCAATAGCAACAAATCTAACTTTGCACATATACACACTTACATATGTATAATATATGTATAGCATATACATACTTATATAAAATGTATATACACATACACCATATACACACCTAAATGTAGCCACCTATATATGTACATACATATACGGCTATGAATTTCACTATAACTCCAAACGAACGTTAGAATTGTTTTGCTTCGCTGCCACGACGTCAGCGGAAATTACACACACAACATTAGCGTACTGCTGAAATAATAACAACAGCAACAAAAATTCTTTCAACAACAAATACTACCAGCATTATATGATTTTTTATTTTACTGCCTTTCTTCCTTTTTCTTGTTTTTTGCTTACCTCTACACCTTGCTTCCGCGCCTGAGTGCCTGCTTTCTAGCGCTAACGTTCGTCCGCTTCCGGTTAGCGGCTCAAATTCTGTTCCGATTCCTGGCAACTACAACTACGCGCATACACTGTTTCATTGCCAGCGCGTTCCGTACTTGTCTAGTTGGCCGCACATACTCATGCAAGCAACAACAAAATGCAATACAAGCAGGAACAAAATACAGAACTAGGGAAGAAAACGGCGGCGCGACTGCAAAGGAAACGAAAATCCTCCCTCGTTCGCGCTGTAGTCACAGTGCTAGCAGTTAGCCAGCCAGTGAGTCGGCCTAGCCTAGCCGGGTCATGCATTTTGAATTCGGTTAGTCAGTTTAACGCATACGCTCGCAGGGCTAACATGTAGTCCTGCGCATACAACGCAACGTTCAACGATCAACAGTTTTGTTTTAATTTTGCTTCTTTTCACTGTTCATGTTTTAAGTAAAATTATTATTATTTTGTGTTATAAGCAGTGACTTATATTGGTGACGAAGTGGCAGTGTGAAATATTACATTAGAGGCGAAAACATTTTTATTTATTGCAATTTGTTTTTGAGGACGGCTTCATTTTTAAATTCATACGTTATATAATAAAAAGCTGTGGACGTGCGTAGTTTTGAGTTCATCTTATTTTTTGGGTAAGTTTTGGTATAAGAAACATAAAATAATAAATATGCACTAAGGGTGTTTTTGCTAAGTTTTTTAACACTCTCAGGCAACATCTTTAAAAGATCGAGTATACAAATAATTTTTAATCCGGAAAATGTAATAAAAATGTATATTTCAGAACGAATTTCTATTGATTAAAAATATTTC